CAATTCAGTGTATAAATAATGGACTAACAATTGGTATGAAAAACGTCAGTCAGCATTTCATTCAATGATAAATTGTATTTGCTGACAAGGTCATTGTATCGACCATAGAATTTACGAAATGATGACTTTAAACGAGACTGTTGATATTCTTGTTTCATCAACTTGCTTGTCAATAATTTACCTCGTTTAAGAAATTGTTCAAACGTAGAGCATAATCTTGCGTATTGAATCAACTGAGATATAAATACTCTGTATGCAGGTGATGAAGGTATATTGCTGCATAAGTAAGGGAAGTTGACGATAGAAAAGTTTAAGTCATCACGTTTATCATATAGTTTGGTTGTTAGATTACCATTTGTGTCTTTTTTAAGTAAAATATCCAAGTATGAAGCAGAAGTGTCCGACTCTGTGGTATCTTTTATCTCAAGCTCACCAGGATATATCGTGTCGACGTAGGAATGGAAATTATCATTATTAATTGACACTACGTCGTCGATATATCTAAATGTCGATTTGAAGGCCACAGCAAGTGTTTTTTTCTTTTCACGCAAAAGATTTTGCATAAATTCTGCTTCATATGAATATAAAAATAAGTCTGCTAATAACGGAGCGCAATTTGTACCCATGGGAATTCCAATAGATTGTTGGAATACCTGGTCTCCAAAAACCACATAGATATAATTGTCAATCAGAAACTCAAGCATCTTCTTGATGTCAACTTCAGAGTACTTATGTGTGCAATCAGAATCTGTTTTAACAAAATAATTTTTCAAATGACCAATGACGAGGTAAGTAAACTTACGAGTTCCATTTTTGTTGAAGAAGCAGCTGTCAATGATATCAAAAAGCCTGGATTTTAATTTGTCGTGCGGAATTGTTGTGTATAAAGTTGAAAAGTCGTAAGTTTTTATGCTGTTGATTTTTGTAAAGTCTTGTGAGTTCAAATTGTTCAAAAGTTCTTTAGAATGTTTAAGTATCCACATCTGATTTACACCACTACTTGAATATATAGTTGTACAGTACTCTTGAAGTTTTTCCTTCACTAATGTCAATATTTTAGTGACAAGTAACGAAAGACGCTTGGTTGAACATTTACTGGAACCTGCAATGTATCTTTGTTTGTAAGGATTCTTATGAAGTTTCGGAATCCAATATATATATAAGGTAGTTCAAATTCATTTTGGCTCTGTGGAATATTAAAAGTATTCAAAACTGACAGGTGATTTTGAAGAATTTCTTCCTTAGAAAGAGTAGTATATGTATAAGTAGGATTACCACTTGTAGAATTAAATCCAAGTTCTTATGAAATGCAATTTATATAATGAGCCTTACAAACGAAGACAATGTTGTTACCTGCTTTGTCGGCAGGAACCAGTACGTACTGATCGTGTAATCTATCTAATTCTTTTTTCACTTCGGGTTTATTGAACACAGAAGGATAGATGGTTTTAATTTTGCCCCTCATTCTTTTAATACGTGACTTTAACATGGATCTGATACATTTAATCCATTCTGAGAAGGTGTCAATGTCTTCTTTTTCATTTCTAGCCCATCGTCTGGCGTAATGTTCAACAGAATCCATAATATTCATGAAATTCCGACGCCAGTTAAAAGATCGGGGTTCCCTATATTTAGGACCTTTTAAAATAAGTGATTTAAGGTCCTCATTACGAACTATATTTACGTCTCCTGTAATAACGTGTCCAGCAGGACTATAATTATAGGGCGAAGAAGAACATGAACACGAAAGGGGATTATTTTTCAGATAGTCAATATCCAGGCCATGTAAAGTATTTTTGTAATTGAAAAGTTTGGAAGCAATGGTCGATGTATATTTGTAGGAAATACTTATATTTGTAAGAAATCTTTAGAAGAAAAATAATTCCTCCTCACAGATGTATTTTTTTCTTACAACCACATACAACATTGTAATTTTCTGACTTAGAAAGCATCGCTTCATGATGTTTTCTGACATGATTTTAATAGGTATTATTTTAAGTATTATTTTCATATACAACTCATATTTCAAATTAAATGTTATGATAATAAATCGTTACTGTATCTGTTCTCTATGTTGAAATTTCTTCATATCATGATCTGACATAAAAATAATTTCTGAAAAAATACTTAAGCTGCGCTTCTTACATCAAACTATTTTCTATGTGGCTCTAATTTTATTGTAACAGTTGTTCATGAAAATCAAAATTAGACATATTAAATTTTCTGAGTGAAATTAGATAGCAGAGGGTCGGGACCCCTTAATGACTTCTAAGAAAATCAAATAGGTAATATCACCTTTTCGAATAGGTGATAACACTAATTCAAATAGGCGATTGCATCTATTTAGCACGAAAAGGTGATATCACCTTTAATTCTAAGCTCTCTGATTGGCTCAAACTTGATCACATGATTAAAGCTGAACACGACTCGTAATTATATATAAATAGGCATACGCCATTTTTGATAGCATTATCTACAATACATCAATACTAGGGTATACTCATCGCTTTCGTTACACCTGACTGCTTTATTGTCACCCGTGTTCGTGCTGATAAACTTGCATTACCTTTGAACCTATGAACTGTATGGTTCTTGGTAATAAACAATACAATACAATACAAGACATAATCAATTAAATAAATTAGTATTCTGAATAACTAAAATCCTCTATAATTACTCCATCAATCAATAAAACAAAACACATTTATTTAATATTTTAATATATTTAATTATTTAAATAGCAACAACTTAATTTATGCTGATCTCTAGTCTCTAGTTTTGAAGAGAGAAAACTTCTGGATAAGGGCGCATGCGTGAAGACAACAAGACACGAAAATTTTGGTCTGTACATTTTTGAAAAGTTTCACAGTTTTTTATCGTTAAATTCATAATGCTGTTGAATGTTGTGTGATGGGGCCAAATAGGACCAGATAAGAAAAAGAAAAAATCCAAAAAGAGGAAAAACAAAACGTTGAACACTAGTGGGGAGATCGAGCAGAAAATACGAGTGAACGCAGATCAGGCAGCCATTGTTATACACGTACCACGTATACATTCCACAAACACACTGAGTATGGATCCAGCGTTTAACAATGGAATGATCAGTGGAATCAACGTCTCAAAACTCGTCTCCTACCATACAGTTTCAAGGTAACCAATTACAACCTTATATGCCACAAAGTCCACAAGGACAATTTGCAGGCTATATGTCGCCAATACAGAGTCAATCGAACACTGTCCCTCAAAGCATTGATATGTGCGATACTCTTTCAGTGATATGTAACAAGCTAGAATAGGTGTCATCAAAGCTTAATACCCTGGATCAAATAGATAAAAGGTTAAATGACCTTGAGCGTAATGTAAGCAATGTAAACCAAGAACTGAAAGAATTGAAAAACATGAAAGTAAATGTTGAAGACATTGAGAAGGGCATGAATCACATTTCACTGCAGTACGACGAACAACAAAAGGCTGTCAAGGAGATCGAACGGACATTGAAAGATATAGACAAAAGGTCAACATCAACATTGAAAGAAAATGAAGCGATGCGTGAAGAACTCCAGGCAGTACGGTCAGACTTGTGTGACCTTAAAGAACGTCACCTAGACCTTCAGACACGGTCAATGAGGGACAACCTGATATTTGAAGGGATAGCAGAAACTCAGGAAGAAAACGCAGAGGATTTGATAAAAGAATTCATTAAGACCGAGATGAATATCACAGACGAAATTGATTTCCACCGGGTGCATAGAATGGGTAGGAAGGGTGGAACCCGACCACGACCGATAATTGCCAAATTTGTGCTGCACAAGGACCGAGAAAGAGTCAGGCGAGCAGCCCCTGGATCCTTAAATGGCAAGCCATATGGAATAAACGAACAATTCCCGAAAGAAATTAACGATCGACGAAAGCAATTATACCCCCAATACAAAGCTGCCAAAAGGCAGGGCAAAAGGGCTTCACTAGTCGTCGACAAGCTTTACGTGGAGGGTCAACTGGTACCATTTCAGAACGACCATTCGAGAGATCGAATCCCAGCATTTGAAAACCGCGCCGCGCCACCGACAGCGCATAGAAAATTCAGATATGCGGAAGCGCACTAGGAAAACCAAGGAGAACTGGACCCGGACCACAATTAGCTTACATATAGACTTGTATAGTAAAAACATGTGTTTTATTTTCTTTGTAACTTTTTTTTAAAAATCTTCATTTCCAAAATATCTTTGACCACATGATAGAGCAATGTATCAGATAAATATTCACATCCAGAAATAGGGGTGTTGAATGTGGAATTCCCTAGTTATTAATAAACTTCTGACGTCATGACCTCAGTATGGCTCTCGCTTGACAAAAAAAGTGTAAACAAACCAAATGAATGCTCTTTTCAATTCATATTTCTAGGCATAATTCTTGCTTGAAATGCACCTTGCTGCATATCATTGTAAACTTTAGACACTATACTTTTATTCTATACCCTAAAAGTATCTAAAACATGTGAGCTATTTTTATTTTTTTCATTGAAAGGGAGGCATATGAATTTCCTACATGTGCTACATTTTAGCCATTTGACCTTCACCCTTTAATTGTGGCCCGGATCCTATATGGAGGCATAAAATTCATTAAAAAATTTTAAGGCCATATTTGAAATCCTTAGATACTACTTAACTAATATACCAAGTTTGATTGAAATTGGTTGATATTTACATGTAAAATTACATATTGTGTATACTAAGGCAATACAGGAAAGAAAATGGCCAAAAATGGCAAGTATGAAATTTTAAAATTGAAATATGTAAAAACTGAAAGACAATAAAAGGAACTAATTATTACAAGTAAGTTGTTGATACCTCTTAAACACACACACTCTCTTAAATATGTAAAATACAAGATTTTTAGATTTCTAGGTAATTTGATGATCTGTACCCTGTATTTTCATAAAATTTTCTTAAATTAAGAAATATAAAATCTATCATGAAAATCTGAGAGTGACAATAGGGGTAAACATTTAAAGTACATTTATTCATAAATCAAATGATGTATCACATTACTGATAAAAGTGTACATAACATTCAAAATAAACAGATTTTTAAGCCCACCCCCATATCCTTTTTCCTGACGGTGAAGAGGGGCCATGTGCAGCTGATTGGCTAAGAGTCTTTGTATAGGTAATCTTAATACCCTATGGGAGTCTGTTTTGACAGGTGATTGTCAAAGGAATATATTGCAGTAAATACCACTAAAAAGTGTCCAAATAAACATTGTCATAATTCAATCTTACTTTCAAATCCACTCTTCACTACACATGAAAACAATGAAAGGTGACCGTAAGAGAAGAAAAAATCTTAATTTTGGGTTTAAAAAAGGGAACATTCATTATATCAAGGCTCATCAGGCTACGTTAAATGCCGCAGGAGCTTCAAGTTCAGCGTCAAACATCCAGGGATCCCCTGAGACAGAGACAGCACAGCCCCTTGCTGAAGGCCAGGAAAACATCTCAAGGACACCGATCCTTCGTCCCAGACCTGAGCCATGCAAGGAGCTAAAAAATGAAGAGACGTATGATGAGATTGAGGGAAACCGCATTGTAGACATAAGATTGGTCTTGGAAATGTTTAATGATGCAGCCGAAAGCCACTTTGACCAGTCCAAGCACTGTAATTTTCCAGTGTGGGAATACTCAGGACAGAGGAAATGGGGGTTTGGATGGCAGAAGAGACTACTGTGTACGGTATGTAATTTTCAGACAAATTACTATAAATTATACACTGAAATTCCTACCTTTAACAAACCAGGCCCTAATCCTGCCAGTATCAACTGGAACTTTCAATTAGCCCTGCAGAACACCTCCATGGGGAATCGACGCAGTCGGGAAATGGTAGCTGCCTTGGACATTCCACCTCCTAACCGCAGCTCAATGCAAAGGGCCAGCAATCAGGTCAACACAGCCACTCTAGCCCTGAATAAGAAAGACATGGGTGAGAAGAGACAACTGGTTAAGGCCATCAACCAGTTCAAAGGTCAAGAACATCCAGAGGAACTGGACATTGCCATAGATGGACGCTACAACTCCATAACCTTCGGTAGCAGCAAAAAGCCAGGCTACAATGCATCACAAGCTTACGCCATTGCATGCGAGACCAACACCGACAAACAGTATATTCTTGGCGCGGCAATGCAGAACAAACTTTGCTGGACTGGAACCTGGCTTCGAGGTAATGGTTATAATGTTCATTGTCCGGGGGGTCATGAAGACTGCACAGCTAATATTGAAATGTTCTTACCTCTTTCAGAGTACGAGTTGGCTAAATCCATAGGCGAAGATCTGGCCGCAGACGGGTTCAAGGTGAAGCACGCCACAACAGACGGTGATGCCCGGTCAGCCCAGGGATTCCAAGATGCCATGCGAATTTTTCATCCAGACTGGAGAGTCACTCGACTGGCCGACCCAACCCATGTCAGCAGAGCCCAGTTCCGGCAGTGTCACAGTGCCCACTTCAGCCCCGAGATGTTTCCCTGCAAAACAAGAATGAGGTTAGACCACATGAGAAAAGTTTTTGCACAAGATGTAAAGGCCCGGTGCAGCTTAGTCTATAAGAAACTCATGGATACCTACACTGGAGACATCAACATCATCTGTAGTAAACTTCCTCTTGTCGTAGAAAGTACCATCCTCTGCTACTCAGGAAACTGTTCAAAATGTCGAAGGAATTCAGTGGTGTGTGAAGGTGGAGACAGACACAACTGGTGGAATCAGTCTTATTTCCTCGCCCCGAACAAACTGACATCCCTGCACCTGAATGAAAATGACAAGCACTTGTTAAAAGTCAATCTTGAGATGCGACTTAGCCAAAGTGCCATTAAGGAAATGAAACTCAACACGTCAACTCAGAAATGTGAGGGTCTTAACAGAGCAGTCAGCGAAGTTTTACCTAAGCACACCAACTATTCAAGAAATGCTGAAGGAATCCTCTCAGCTGAGATTTAAGACAAAACAACAGTCCGGGACTAGCAACATCAATGAAAGCAGCAGAGATTACATTGCCACTGTCCGGCCACACACATCAGTACCTAAAAAGCATTGACCAGGAATATGCCTATCGCAGAGAATACAGAAAGAGAAAAGCAGTTAAAAGGCGAGAAATGCAGAGAAAAGCTACGCTAATGAAACAACATGCAGCTAGAAAAGGAAAGACCAAACCCGGGTGCACCTACAACAAAGGGCAACTTGATCCCAAACCCACCAGCCTACAGTCCAAGGGAAGCAATCCAGAGGATCACACCTACTACCAGACATGAGTTGCCAAGACAAAGACAAAACGGCCCTTCTCAGGGCCAACCAAATTATTCGAAAAGATACCTACTATACAAAGTTGTATGAGAAACGTGTAAAAATTAACACCAGGCCACAACCCAAAAACTTCCACATAAATACATAAAACATATCGTACACATACGCACATATGAACATACATACATACATAGTACATACATACTTACTTACTGATCAATGTTTTTGTCAAAAACTACAAACTATATCCCCCCGATCTTCCTTGAAATGACAAACCCATCAACCCCCATTTCTATTTTAGTGAAAAGTACATATTTTTACACAACATAATTTCCACTCACCTGAAATTAAAAACTCCAATACACAACCTCTGTCTGCATGTACAATTATGAGTCGGGCAAAGCCTGAATCCCATTTCCACGTGTTTTCCTGCAAAATAAATCCATGCACATGTTATTGTAAATATTGGCCCAATCACCACCTTCTTATTACGCTTTATTTTGACCAGGCTGAAGGTAGCAGCCAATAACAGCAGCCACTAAGCTCGTAGAAGCTAGCAGCCAATAAGGAAATTCATCAAAGAACTGAGAGTATTCAGACGCAATGCTGGTTTTATACTTTATTTTAGATAATTAAGGGTTAATGATTGGATAATTAATTCGAAATTTAATTACATAATAAATCAGACACTAGGGGGCAGTAAGGCTCACCTGAAGAAAAAAATTATTTTTTGAAACTGAAAAAATATAAATAAATTACACAATCATCTTAGTCCATTTGATCAAACAAGCACTGAGAAATGGTTAACTACTTCAAGAAAAATACCTTTTCAACTCTTTCAGGGACCTCAAGAATATGGCAGGGCCAATAAGCTAACCTGAAAATTATCAATCTATCGATTGTACACTGAAATATTAGACAAGTATTCATCAACTACGTTGA